ATCTCAGGGTGGATGCAAACAACAATCTCAAATTTGTGCTCAAAAGTAATCAGGAGTAAAGTCTTTACTCCCACAATGAAGTCTTCCTCTCTTACTTTTCATACTATGGTAATGGTTTCCTAAAGAGACATCATGTTTCTCCTGTCCTTAAAGTCATTACTAGTTAGCTGCGTTACCTGCGTAGCATGGCGAACGTGTTCGCGCCCCTTCACGTTCGCGCTGTCACACTTTTTCCAGTCGGGCCTCTCCAGGCGACCAGAAAGCCAACAGGCTATCACGCAAGATTTGGATGATATTTGTTGTTAATAAAATAAATTAATTAAAGCAAATCCCTTCCTCTTGTGTGCGTCCGGCTTTGAGCGAGACCCTTTAATTGCGGTCTTCACTGGTTCGCGGTCTTAGGGATCTTTTATTTTGATTCGGAACAAGGATCATGTAATAATAAGAACTGATTAATCAAACAGCATGCATGCACATCATAATGTCATTTAGGATTGAGAGCTGTAACATGAGCATGCAGGAACTGAAAAGATCAATAGGCAGAACACTGACCAACTTAACAAGACAAGATCAACAAGCTCATGTGAGAGAAGAGGAGAGCTCTTTATCGCATCAAGGTCACAAAACGAGCAAACAAAACTCAGAACCATTGTTTCTGTAGTCAGCTCTCTCTCTCCCCTCAGAAGATCGTGTCATACTCAGAGATCCGACAATAGTTAGTACGTTGTCCAGTGATTCTTGAGCGATTGCGCATAGTGTTGACCTGTACTTGTGAGAAAGTCTGTTGCAGCTTGTATTTGATGACTGTGCTCCGGTTATGAGTCTGCCTTGCTCGAGATATCTGTCATGCTCAAGAAGGTCTTGTCGAGTCCGCTGTCCTCAAAATACTTACTGATCTTGAGACTACTTACTTATCACATGATCGATCTCATGGAACACTTATGACACTCACTATGTTGTCCTTGCTTTCACCGGGAGAGCCAACTTTGACCAGCACTATTGTTGATGTCACTAAGATTGCCTGTTGTAACCAGCATCGTTGCTGCTACCAGCGGGACCTCCCGCTGTGGCCAACAAGACGGTACTGCGACGGAGGGCTGAGTGCACTCTGTCGGGTCCTGCGAGACCCCAACTCCAGTAGCGAGGGGGGCAAACCGCGACGGGGATGTCGGGAAGCCGACTAATGAGGAGGGCGCAGGTGTACACTGCACCGTGGCTAGGAGGCGCCGCGGGGATGTGAGGCGCTGGGGGGGGACTGAGCACGACGCTCGCGGGAAAGGTCAGTGTAGTGGTGGTCAAGGGCGGTAGTGTAAGGGCACCGCAAGGAGGTATGACCGTCTTGGCGGCAGCGCAAGCACCCACGCCGGCCCAAAATAGCAGCGTGCTCCTCAGCGGAAAGGATGCCGCGAGGAGGGACAAAGCCTTGAGGGAGGTCCCGCTGAGGGTGACGCGCTAGCGTGACCGGGGCGGCTGTATGCCCGGGAGAGGGTGGAGAGGATGAGCTGGAGGCGCCCGGCCATAGGGAGAGTAGAGTCCTCCAGGTGGTAGTGGACGGCCTCGCCGAGGTCGAGGTCGTCGCTATGGTCACCCTCGGGCGACAGCGGGGCAACAACGTCCAGCTCACCATACTCGAGCGCGCTGAAGCGGCATGAGAAGTGGCGGCCCTGCTGCGCGGAACGGCAGGGGCGACCGCGGAAAGGGGAACGGTGTTGGGAAGTGTCGTGAGAGGAGGAGGGGGCGTAACCAGTACGCTGAGGCTGGGAGGAGGAGGCGGGGTGAAGACGGGCCCGCATCCGCTGATGGTCCCTGGCGGCCTCGTAAGCCTGGGGGGCCGATGTGAACTCGTACCGCCATAACTCGCAGCATTACTCGAGTGGAAGGCTGGCCAAGAAACGATCGATAAGGGCAGCCTCGGAGAGGAACGCCATGTCACAAATGAGGCGGGCGTCCTGAAAGACCTGGATGTGGCGATCCAGGCCGGCAGCGCCACCAGAGTCGGACCAGCGTGTAGTGACGATATGCTCGAAGGCGTCAGTCACGTCATGTCGGGCTCCGAAGCGATTCTCGAGGAACGCCTGGAAATCCATGAAGGTCAAAGTCCGACCGACATGAAGGGAGTAAGCGTAGAAATCCTCCCAGGCGTCAAAAGGATCGCCACGCAGTGCATGGAGAGGTGACCCACCCACGTGTCGGGTGGGGCGCCCATGAGCTGGAGGGTGCGGGTGGCAGACTGTAGCCACCAAGACACGCGTATGCCTGTACCGTTATACAAGGCAATGCTCGTCAAGCAGACGAGTGGTGCGCCACCGTTTTGGCGGCGAGGGGATCGGGGAGTAGAGGCCTGTGCCACGGCTGAGTAAGTCGGCGCAGGTCCTGGAGAAAGGGGCGCAACTGACTGTGCGCCTGAGCCGCATGGGGGAGCGGCGGGGGCAACAACGGCAGGCTGCGAGGGAGCTGCGGTAGAAGACATCGCAGCAACCGCGGGAATAGGAAGAAGGTAGGATGGGGCTGGATAGGGTGCAGGGCGAGGGAAGCGAGCCTGCATGGAAGGAAGCGTAGCGGAAGGAGGGGGTGCGCCCAAAGGCGCGAACACCTGTGAGGGTGGGGGTGGCTGAAGGCGTAAGAGGGCGAGGTCGCCCTGGGTCTGGGCAAGCTCGTCCTCGAGACGTTCGGCGTAGATCAAGCGAGGAGTGGCAGGAGGAAGAGAAGGGGGAGTGGACGCACGAGCGGCGCGGGCATCCCACAGGGGGGAGAGCCAGGTGGCGCTGCGGTCGTGCGAAGGGAAGGGAGAAGCGGGGCACCCGGAAAAGCTGAGCCCATGGTAGTGGGTTGTGGTCCCATGGCCGTAGTGACCGGAATCTGGGCGGGTGCACCCGTAGACTGAGGGAGGGCCTGGCCCGTGGCGGCTGCCGTGCTAGGAGCGTGGACAGTCACCAGGATGGCCGGGTCGGGGCGGCAGAGGAGGAAGCTCCGCCATGGCCACCATGTCGGAGGACTGGGGACCCGGACTGGGAGCCAGCAGAAGAGAGAGAGTGAGGAGAGGAAGGACGGGCAGCGTCCTGGAGTTGCCGCAGGCCAGCGGCAAGAGTCGGCATTACAGGCGCAAGGAGGGAGGTGATGAGGGTGTGCAGGTCCCCCTGGGGCCGGTGGCCCTGGTCCGTCGGCACGGGTGTGGAGCCCGATGCCGAGGTCGTCGCCTCGGCGGCCTGTGACACGTCGTCGGCCATGGGGAGGTAACGGGACGGGCTAGGGAGGGTCGGAGGAGGTCCGCGTGAGCGGAGGGCGTACGGGGAGGTCTGCGATAAAAAGCGACGGGCAGCGCTAGTAAATCGAGCGCGGGCGCCGTCAGAGGGGGAGGGGTGGTTCGGATCCAGGGTGGCCGAATGAGAAGGGAAAGTAAGGGGGGGTAGGAAAAGCCTAAGCCCTAGAAAAACCCTAAGAAAACCCTAAGAAAACCCTAACCGAAGTTTGAGTGGTTAGGGTAGGGTACCGGTGACCTAATCAAGAAAATAAAATAGCAAGCATAGGGAGGGAAGGCGGGAGAAATATAAATAAACAGCGAGATTTCGAGAGAAAAATAAAAATAAATAAGGAAATAAATAAATACTAAAAATAATTAAGGAAATAAGGAAACAAAATATGAAGAGAGAAATGATATTTATTTTTTTAGAATTTTCGGTAGCATTTCCCTACTGTGAGGATTGAGCCCTAAAAAAGGGGCCTTGCCATGATGTACATGTTTTGGGCTAAGGCCCCCAGCAAGCCTCGTGCCCGCTCTAAGTGAAGGCGGGCCAGCAAATCAACAAGAGCCCTTTGTTCAAACATTTCACGAAGTGGGGTCCATACAGTTGCCGCACGCTAGTTGGTTGGAGTGCACCGAGTATCGGATCTCTGCAAATGCAGAAATCCCAGGGCCCCAGAATGGGTTAGGCCCTGGGCACATAAACGTGAGGCCGACAATGCATGCTGGATATAGAGGCTGAAAATGCCAATGGGAAACCGGTCCACTATCTGAATCTGGCCGCAGGCCTTGATGAAAGGGGCATAACTGCATCTCCTGGGCCCCAACCGCATTGGGCCTAGGTACAGGTACTGGGGCCCAGGCGCAGGCTCAAGGGAGGCTGCCCACACGCAACACTGGCATATAGGCAGGGAGGGCGAGTGGGCAGGGATCTTGGCCATTGCGAGCAAGGACGGCACGCTGCCGCATTGTGAGTGTGCATACGATGCGCTAGGCTGAGGGAGGGCAGGCTGGCGCTAAGCGGTAGAGCGCAGCCTGGCCGCAAGGCGCTGGCGGCCATAGCCGGGCTGCCTGTGGGCGCAGAGAAGGTGAAGGGCGAAGGTGGTTCTTCGGAGGTGAAGGGCGCTGTGTGGGATAACAAGGGAGAGTGAGGGAGAAGAGAGAGACGTACCTGGTGGAGAGGAGGTCGGCATTGGTGTTGACATCATCACTCGCTGGTCGTCAAGTTGTCTGGTTGCTTTCATACTGTAGTTGTAGTGATAGGCTGTAGAGTAGGTAGGGCGCCTGGCGCCATTCAAGAGAGAGAGCTACATTGGGTTATGYTGTTGGTGTTGCCCKRTTGGGCTTGGACATTGACTCACGATTCTTCTGTATCGTTCTCAAATGGATGGTTACTCGGTTCCATTGTGCTATCTGCTCTTGCTTTGACTACTTTGGACTTCAGTGTGATTTTGCAATCTGGATTTCTGTGCTTCGTCCACATTCATGTTCCTTGCATTTTGGTATCGGAGCTGGTTCAATTCGCCACTTACCTTGGTGAGCTGGCGTTATACAGACTTGGTGCGTTGACGATGCTTCTTCGCAGTTGGTTCTTGTGACGTCAGGCCAACATTAGGTGCACGACCTGGGTAGAGAGGTGTGCGCCGGAAGGCTACACGGCATGGGATGCCATGGTTACAGCGGAATGTATGATTGGTGATGAGAGGATGCTGATGTGGCATTTAGCTGAGGTGGCACGCAAATCGCGTTGTGGGTGGTACCGAGGCTACGACCGGTCATCAAATGCACACTCAGCTCAATTGGTGAGAAATCTGTGGTTGGGGGCAGCTATCTCCAGGTACGTTGTTCCCTTACCTTATCTACCCTCTCAATCTGTTCCTACCGCGAGGAAGTGAGTCCACCTTGAGAGTCCTCTCTTTTGGTGAGGTGTCAAATGCGCGCTACCTTGAGAGACGACAATCTTCCCTGAAGCATCTGGAAGGAGAAAGGGCGGTGCCTCTGAAGGGCCCTGGTCGAAGCACTTGGGTCACGGTCACCATGCCAACCCAATGGGAGTAGGTCACGCATGCGATGGCTGCTTGTCCATTTTGGCACTTTGCTGAGGTCGTGTCGGGTGTGCCAGCCCATAAGAGACGCCTACCAGACCGTCTATAAATACTTCTGGCAGGGGACTCGGTGTTGATACTGGCTGTGATCGTCGTCCTGTCTGCGACGTTAAATAATTTATGAGGAGATGGGGGCTCTCTTTAAATCCCTCCTGATCAGCCAGATCAAACCGGGTAGTAAGGCTCGTTCCGTACGAGGGTAAATAAGAGTGGATGGGCTGGCTTGCTCAGCAATGACTTGGGGCACAGGGGTGGGCCGACATTACACACGAAGACACTGCTGCTCAAAGATACTTTTCGGTATGTTGGATTGAGGGGAGGGTAGGTTCTAATTGGTGCTCAACTGTAAACACAACTATATCCACTGTTCATACATCTGCAACATGGTCTGGTTTTATTGTTGATTAGTTGGTTGACAGACTGCTAACACCTCACAGACAATTTAGTATAGAACTGTTGTATACTACCATAGCCAGTTCTGTGCAAGCTTCTGTAAGTGAACTATTCATGATATGTTGACTGTCTTTTGTGAATGTTGTAGGCTGCCACTTGATCAGTCAAGTAGGGGACCTGCCGGACACAATTATTTTTAGAAAATTACGTGTCGGTCAGACATATGCTGTGGTAGGACTCCAGCAGGGAGTTGTAGTGCGGATAGTGTTTGCCTAACTGATGAGCGGGTCAGACACCGATGACGGTGGAGTTGACGATGTGAGACTAACACGTTCGAGATCACTTAGGGTCCCGCACGTGTTCCAGACCTTACAACCGGAAGACGAAAGACAGCTTCGTGCCGAACGCAGAGCCCGCGCTCTCGCAGCAGCCAGGGAAACAGAACTAGTTGCAAGTCAGGCGTTGGCAGCAGCAAACGCAGCAGCAGCCATAGCAGCAGCAATGGCTAATGGCGCAGCCTCTGCTGCGTCCTCGTCTGGGACCCAGTTGGGAATGCCCTCAGGGCCCGCGGGTACATCTGGATCAGTAGGTGCTGGTCAGTCCACAAGTCAAATGGCGGGCTCGCAATTTAGCCCGTTGACCCCACGCGGCAGGGAGCTCCTAGAGCTCCAACAAGTCGAAAGGATCCGCGAGCGGTTAGAGAGGGAACTGAAGCAAGCTACCGATAGAGAAAAGGAAGTCAAAAATAGAACAGCCAGGCGTGATACGTTAGAGGCAGACAAAACTGCACTAGAGGGTTTGGATGAGTCAGCCATGTCTGTCCAAATGAAAGTATTGAAGAACAGTGTACTGTCCCTGCATGCGCATGTGGACAGCAGACTAGACTTCATGCAGAACTCTTTGGACCAGATCTTGGACCTTTTGCAAAGGCCAGGATTTCGGCCAGCAGCACAGTCGCTGTTGCCGTTAACGACGATGTCAGGCGCCTTTCCAGTACAAGCTGGCACACAACCAAGTGGTACGTCTGCAGCAACCACACAGACTGTTGCTTCTTCTTCTTCTGGGTCAGCGGTGATAGCTACACCTTCACCGCAACAACCTGTTCCTCAACAGGGACAGCAGCAAGGTCAATGGTACCCAAAGACCCCTATGAAACCACCCCTTGCCTTCTCCGGAGAGAAGAAGGACAAGGAACTCAACACACGGTTGAGAACGTTTCCGGTGTGGGTAAGGGCAAAGAGGACTATGCAGGAGGAGGAGGTGATTACTGCTGCATCTTACCTGGAGGGTAAGGCAGCCAAATGGCTGGATGGATTAGTAGCAAAGGCCAGGTACGGACGACGCATGGCGGACTGGGCTAAGACCCTAACGTTAGAAGAGTTTTTAGACATGGTAGAAGCTCGCTGGCATAATCCACAGCAGGCACAAATTGCCACTGATGCGATGCTCAGACTAGACCAACAAAAGTTCAAGTCAGTCAGAGAGCTAACAACTACCGTAGAGAGTCTCATCGTCATTCCCGGCATACGCTACGATGACCAGGTCTTATTGACCATGTTTGTGAGATGTCTCCCAGAGAATCTCCGAAATTTGCTGGCCAGCGAGGCTCGGCTCGAGTATCATTCGTTTGAGACCTTATCTAGAAAAGCCTTAGACTTAGAGGCTACTCTAGGAAGTGCTCAGCCTACTCCGGTAGACGCGAGGAATAAGAAGGGTCCACAGGAATGGAAGAAGAAGGGGAGTAAATTGATGATGGTTGAGCCCGATGGGACTCAAACTGAGATCGAGGAACTCACAGACCTGTTGGACAATTCAGAGTACGACGGCGAGGACATCGTTGAGGGTAGCACCCTCACCGCAGTAGTAAAGACTAAGGTAGGTGGCCGAGGGAAGGGCCATCAAAAGAGTCAAGGGCAGGCCGCCTCCAACCAGACCAAAGTTGCTGATTGGGTCAAGGCAGGTCTTGATCAAGAAGTGTGGCGGGACCGTAGAGTTTGTGGTGCTTGCATCAACTGTGGTGAATACGGACACACCCAATACAATTGCTAGAACGCAAAAGTCACGCAGAAGATACCTTCGAAGGTAGGGGTACCTTCTTCTCAGGCTTCTAGCTCGGGAAAAACGTGAGGCCGGTGGAAGTTTTAACTGCTTTTACTCAAGGTGAAGTGGGCCAGATACCCTCCCCACTTCATGAGCAGGCCATAGCTAATGACTCTTTAGTCACCCTGCAGACTCATCCCGACCAAACCATGCTCTGTACGTTGGATGTGTCTGAAGCCTTAGCAGATTTGGAAAGTGAGTGGTCAAGTAAGGACCCTCGTGAATCTTGGGTGGCACTAAGAAGAGTTCCTAGATGGGAACATTTCGTTGTGGAAGTTGATGTAGGAGGTCGCAAATGTGGTGCCTTCATAGACATCGGCTCCACGCGGAACTACATAAGTCGCGACTGCTTGGAGAGGCTGCACCTACAGGACCGGGTACAACACCTTAGTAGACCGGTAGCATCTACTTTGGCCAATAAGGAGCGCATGGTTGTCACAGACTATATCAAGGATGTAGTCTGTACCTTCTCCTATGGAGGAGGGGAACTTAATCATAAGATTTTGTTCCTGATTAGCGACGACTTACCATTCGATATGTTGTTAGGAATGTACTACCTTGAGGTTGCCAAGCCCCAGTTTGACTAGTACAAGAAGGTGCTAAAGCATAAGTTGCCTAATGGACGAACGATAAGACTGACTAAGTTCAAAGCCAGTAGTATAATCGATACCTATGGCTGCTTGTGCGCATCAGCGTTCTATAACTATTATAAACAAAACCAAGAGGAGGGTATGTACCTAGTGTATGTCTCTGAGAAAGGGGCGGCCGTTAAAACACCCCCAGAGATAGAACACGTCATTGCTAAGGATCTATAGGATGGCTCCGGCCAAGTTGGATGAACTTCGGCGACAACTGAAAGAGGTGACAGAAAAGGGATGGAATCGTTTGAAAGCAGCCTCGCACTCATCACTCCAGTCCCACAGTGTGTCAAGTCGAGTTAGATCAGTCAAAGGATAGGTGACTGTGGAATAGTTCTTTACGAAGTTTCTATAGTAGTCGCACATTCCTAAGAAAGATCTGACCTCAATAACAGTCTGAGGTCGTGGCCAGTCCCTGATACTAGCCACCTTCGCATCTTCCGGCCTAATACCTTCCGCGGATACTTCATGACCCAAGTATAAGATCTTAGTGCGTCCAAACACACATTTCTCTAGGTTGACCTTATACTTGTCCTATCGCAGGAGAGAAAGTACAGTCTCAACGTGTTGTGCATGCTCCTCGACAGACCTACTAAAGATAAGAATATCGTCAAGGTAGACAACGACAAACGTATCTAAGTGGTCATGGAAGATCCTATTTATGGCATGCTGGAATGTACCCGACGCATTGCAAAGGCCAAAGGGCATCACTACAAACTCATACAGACCGTATCTGGTCTGTAAAGCAGTCTTGTGCTGATCCTCGGGTCTTATTGCAATCTGATGGTAGTCGGACTTTAAGTCTATCTTGCTATAGTACTTACATCCCTGCACCCTATCCAATAGGTCGTCTATGCGAGGTAGAGGCTCTGCGTTTTTCACTGTGATGGCATTGAGGCCTCTGTAATCAATGCACATCCTCAATGTACCCCCCCTTCTTCGGTACAAGTAGCACTGGAGATCCGAGGGGGGAAGTTGAGACCGATTGAATATATGAGCAAAAAGATGCCATCAAAGAAACTTGCAAAGTCCACCTATGAAAGTGAACTCTGTGCCCTTTACAGAGCACTTGTCCATCGGAGGCACTTCCTGTTGGGACGGTTTTTCACTTGAGAACTGACCATCAGACCCTCAAATGGATCAAGACTCAACCGGCTCTTTCTGATGCACTCAAGCGTTGGATTGAGGTCATAGATAAGTATGACTTCAAGCTAGAGTATCTGAAGGGAGAGTACAACAAGGTTGCAGATGCGCTGTCGCGTAGAGCAGACTACCTAGGGGCGCTAGTTTCTGAGTTTGGTGTATCTGAGGAACTAACTCAATCGTTGGTGGGAGCCTATCAGGAAGACCCTGTCATGATGGACATCATACGCAAACTTCAGGCAAAAGACAAGGCCACAAAATATGAGTTTGTGATGGTGGACAGGATTCTCTTTCTTGATAAGGCCGGATTTAAAAGGCTAGTTGTTCCATCTAGTGAACGTTTGCGTAGTTTATTCTTAGGAGAATGTCATGACGCAACCGGACACTTTGGCTACAAAAAGACGAGTGCCAATCTAGTACAGCGACTTTGGTGGCCCGGAATGCTAGAAGATGCAAAGAAGTATGTTGAGACCTGTCAGGTTTGTCAGCGGGACAAGCCGCGAACTCAAGCACCGCTTGGGTTGCTGAAGCCCCTACCTATCCCCGCTGGTCCAGGACAGAGTGTTTCCATGGATTTCATGAACACCCTGGTGACCAGCAAGAATGGCAAGAGGCACATCTTTGTCATCATAGACCGATTCACCAAGTACGCTAGACTAATTGCCATGCCAGAGACCGCAAGGACTGAACACGTCATCAAGTTGTTTTTGGACAACTGGGTGCGAGATTTTGGATTACCAAAGTCAATCGTTAGTGACAGAGGTGTCCATTTCACAAGTGAGTTGTGGAAGAAGACTGCTGAACAGATGGGCAGTCAACTTCAGATGACTTCAGGGAATCATCCCGAAGCAAACGGACAGGCCGAGCAGATGAACAGAGTTGTACAACACTTGCTGAGGCATTACATCAAGCCCAGTCAGGATGACTGGGATGAGAAATTGCCTCTCCTCGCCAGCCTGTACAACAATGCTGTACACAGCAGTACCGGCGTCAGTCCTAACCAGCTACACTTGGGATGGAAGCCTAGATCAGCACTGGACTTCCTCCTGCCTGAAAACCGATCCTCTGCAACTCCAGGCACACTTGAGTACGGTGTGCAGTATGAGAAGTTGCTACACCAAGCTGTCGAGAAAATCAAGAAATCTCTGCAAGCAATGATTGCTTCTTAGAACAAACATCGTCGCCAGTCCTCATTTCAGGTAGGGGAACGGGTTTGGGTCAAGGCTAGTGAGCTAGGATAGGAATTCGGAATCTCTCGTAAACTAATGCCTCAGTATTTTGGTCCCTTGGAGGCCCTAGACATAGTTGGGGATGAGTTGGATGGTCCTACCTATGTTATCCACATCCCTGGTCATCTGCGCACTCACCCTGTCTTTCATGCCTCAAAGCTTGCACCTTATGCTGAGACAGATCAATTCCCTTCCAGGAGATCAATGCTGCCCCCAACCATGGATGGTCAAGTGGACATCGACGACATTGTGGATCACAAAGATTTGCCTGTTCCAAAGCCACTGGGTAGAGGAAGACCTCCAAAACCCAAGCGGGAGTATCGCGTCAGATTCAGGCATCATACGGATCCGAAGGAAGATCGGTGGTTTACCAGAGAGGAACTGATTGACACAGCTCCTCAAGTGGTGGCAGATTATGAGAGAATGTTAAAAGGGAAGGCACCTGCGAAGTAAGCATCTCAGCGGACTTTTGAAGCTAAGGGGGATGGAATGTGAGGATTGAGCCCTCAAAAAGGGGCCTTGCCATGATGTACATGTTCTGGGCTAAGGCCCCCAGCAAGCCTCGTGGCCGCCCTAAGTGAAGGCGGGCCAGCAAATCAACAAGAGCCCTTTGTTCAAACATTTCACGAAGTGGGGTCCATACAGTTGCCGCACGCCAGTTGGTTGGAGTGCACCGAGTATCGGATCTCTGCAAATGTTGAAATCCCAGGGCCCCAGAATTGGTTAGGCCCTCGGCACATGAACGTGAGGCCGACAATGCATGCTGGATATAGAGGCCGAAAATGCCAATGGGAAACTGGTCCACTATCTGAATCTGGTCGCAGGCCTTGATGAAAGGGGCGCAACTGCATCTCCTCGGCCCCAACCGCATTGGGCCTGGGTACAGGTACTGGGGCCCAGGCGCAGGCTCAAGGGAGGCCGCCCACACGCAACACTGGCATATAGGCAGGGAGGGCGAGTGGGCAGGGATCTTGGCCATTACGAGCAAGGCCGACACGCTGTTGCATTGTGAGTGTGCATACGCTGCGCTAGGCTGAGGGAGGGCAGGCTGGCGCTAAGCGGTAGAGCGCAGCCTGGCCGCAGGGCGCTGGCGGCCATAGCCGGGCTGCCTGTGGGCGCAGAGAAGGTGAAGGGCGAAGGTGGTTCTTCGGAGGTGAAGGGCGCTATGTGGGATAACAAGGGAGAGTGAGGGAGAAGAGAGAGACGTACCTGGTGGAGAGGAGGTCGGCATTGGTGTTAACATCATCACTCGCTGGTCGTCAAGTTGTCTGGTTGCTTTCATGCTGTAGTTGTAGTGATAGGTTGTAGAGTAGGTAGGGCGCCTGACGCCATTCAAGAGAGAGAGCTACATTGGGTTATGTTGTTGGTGTTGCCCGATTGGGCTTGGACATTGACTCACGATTCTTCTGTATCGTTCTCAA